CCAAGTTCTCAAACTTAGTTGCAGAATTATTAATACATCTATTCTAAAATCTATATGAGTCGGAGTAGAAGGCCTGAGTTAAGTCAAGAAACATAGCGGATACTTATTTTGAGTTTTTTAAGAGGGTGGCTACAAATTTTGAAATATGAAGTATGTGGAGGTTCTGTTCTATTACAGGGTGCTATTTCATAAATCCAGAAGAAACTCAGATATTTCTTTTAGCATCGTTTATATTGTGCAACAAATCAGAGGAATTCATTCATCTCTAGTACTCATAAGTCATAAGTTCATCCATAGGACTTGGAAAACAATCAATGATTTGCATCCAATTCTGTAAGCACCAGCACCTAATATTATAATACGTGCCTTATTGCTATATACAATTCAAATGGTGTCGTTTCTACCAGAGTGCAGCAGCGCGTGTAGATTCACTATTGCCATCTCACGGGACTTTGAGAAACTAAAACCGATGCGTTGTCCCAAGCAAGAATCAAGCGAAGCGAACGGAGCAAATGGCGTCGTATTGGGTGACGGTCGCTTTGCGGATTTGTGAAAATCATGAATGAATTCCTTTTTAGCAATGTGCAAGTGTGTTTTTACTTAGTGAATTCTTTTATGTAAGTATTTTTTATTATTTTTTGATGCTAATATGTCGATATGTTGCTTTAATATTCTGCAAACGTGTGTCAAATTCGCGTGCATGTCAAACGTTTGTAAACAAACTACACCTACTTGACGGGCGAAAAGAAGATTTCGCAATTACGGTCCTTAACAAAATTTCTTGTAGTCTGTTATGTAGCACCTGTCATTTCCTAAGAAATGTAGTATTTTCTGTCATTGTTACCGCTGCAGGAAAGCTGCTTAATTAATTCATTTGCTTTGACATTATGGGATATAAAGCTTAAGTTTCTTTAAGAAATAATAAATCCTAGTAAAGTACTGATTAAAACTTTGTTATATGTCAATTTAAAATGTGATTCTTTTTCAGGCTAGTGCATTTTTATGATTATATTTGTAGACTTGTGGATAAAACTGCCACAAAATGAATGACATTAAACCAGAACCTGCTAGTACCTCCTCGTGGGATTCAGTAGCCCAAGTCCCTCCCATTCCTCACAGTCATCATCATGAAACGGTACCTGTTCTTGTTCCTACTCCCATTAAGATGGATGGAACAATTGCACATCCACCCCCAGGTCCACAAATGCCCCAAACACCTCATGTGAGTTTTCATTTTTTCTCTTTTAATTAACTTATTTGTGAATGTCTTAATGTCTTTTGTTAATGACAAAAGGCAAAGAAAAAGGAGTCTTGAGTTTTTTCTTCTTATTTTTGTATTTTGTTTTAAGGGTGTGCCAGCTGGAGGATTTTTAGAACATGATTTGCCTCCTGAATTATTACAACAAGGGTGGCGGAAGTTTTGGAGCAAGAGAGAACATCGGCCGTACTTCTGGAATAAGCTAACTGGGGAGTCTTTGTGGGAGATGCCACTTTTAAAGCCACAGGTATTATATATTTAAAAAAATAATTTTGAATTGATCGAAATGTTTGTTTAATATCATATAAATATTTTTTGCAATCACTTATTTCTGATTTTTAAGTTATTTGAGGAAAAACATATGAAATATTTATTTTTTCACTAAGTTGTCTTGACAATAGATATTATATCCATGTAATATATCTGCACCATGATAAGTCAAAAATTAATAAATAAAAAATTAATAATACCTAAATTTTAAATAAATTATGTAATAATATATGCAAATATAAAATTATTGTTAATTTTCTTCTTTATATTATTATTAATATTAATATTTTATGAAATACAAAAATTGGACGTAAATGTTAACAATTTTCAACTAAAATTATACATATAAAGAGTATTCACATGCTATGAAATTACTGATGACATACATTTACAGATGAAAGCATTGTGAATGCAAATCTGCTTCATGTGAATTCCAACTAAAAGAGTTCTCTTGAACTGTTTTACATGGCTTTAAAATGTGTGAATCGTGCATCTTTTCCTCTCCATGCGGCTTGTATAAAAGTCCTCAATGTCCCAAGCACACCATTCTTTTGTAGGTCTATAATGTGTTTAATGGATACTGTGGGAAACTGAATTGTAGCCTTCTGCTGCTCTGATAGGTAGTTTTTTGTGGTTTCTCTGATCATCAATACTAAGCAAATGCAGTACTTCCCTAACAAACAGGCTATGGACTGCACAAGATCTTTCTGTCCTCTTTCTTGTCCTAGCTGCTGCCCTTAGTAAACACACACTTGCATGCTATGCATTACCTCACATGTTGCGAGACAAGTTTGCAGGTTCAAGCTTGTTTGGAGGGAGAATCCACCTACATGCCGATGTATAGGACAGATCCAGATATCAACATTCAGCACAGGGAGAACCACTGCCACCTCTTTTGCAGTTAATGTGCCCAGAAACATCGACCATAAGTCAATCACTGATGGACAGGAATTCAAAGTGATGGATGGTCCTTCCTAAACCACATAATATAAGTACAGTGTTTCATGTTAAATGAAATATTCATAATGTATTTTACTATCCTATTATTTCTTACAGTTTGACAGGCTAACCGACCCTTTAGGCATATGCAATCCAGCTCCTGTTGCCAATGGTCCTCCAGGACCTGTGCCAGTGAAGAGAAGAGCTTCGGAAGAAGGTGTTGGAAGTCCTGTCACCAAGAAGTTTGTGTTAGCGTAAGTCTGTTTCATACTGTTGCATGCAATATAAGCTGCATAAAAAGTGGAAAGTACGTACATATGTAAATACATTTTATGACATACACAATTAAAAATTGAAAATATGCGAAAAGGTGGAATGGGGAAAAGTAAGGTGTATCTGCTGCAAAAAATAAGACACAGAAATCATATAAATTGCTAGCTTATGAACAAACTGTTTCAAATTAAGAATTTATTTTCTAAGAATACTTTACTTGCTTCTTAGGAAAATTAATGGGAGATGCACTTCTTGTACATTTCAGTTTTAGTTTTTGAAAAAATTCCATACAAATGTAATTTCCGCTAAATTTAAAAAAATTCAGAAGGAAAATCCAATAACTCAAAATATGAAAATTTTGACTAAACATGTATCACTTGTAAACCAAAACAATTAATTTGAAGAGAGTAGATTTGAAAGATGTAACACATCAATAACAAATGGTTGCTGTTGTAAATAAACGTTTTTCTTGAGCAAAACGTTAATCTGTCTGGAATCTGTGTGTGTGTTGTGGTCATGATCAGCATCTCATTCTGTTACCGACAGTAGATGTTGGGCTTGATTGTGTTTTGCACTTGGACACAATACTCTTTATGTCCTGAGAAATTATGTCCTTTCATGTATGTTATTGTAAGCCTTATGAGAATTTTCTGCAGAGGAAGGACGCAAATGCAGAAAAATATGCATGTAATGTACAAAAATGCAAAAGTATGTATTTATGGTGATACATGCAAAAATTGAAAAATCGAAATCGCTTGAATATATTCTAATGCCTTAATATGTGTAAATTTTTTGAATTAAGATACTTCTTAAGTCAACAGAAAAATATGTAAATACATATAAATCCCTCCCCTAATCATCACAATATAGCTAAGAATTAAAGAAAATGGGTAATGTTCACATACACATTTTGAAAATTCTTGGTCTGGAACCATCTTTGTTGTTTACAAGAACAATTCCACTAACATTCCAACTTGAGGCCACAATATTACATGATCTAGAACTAAACATACAATATTAATACCTACATTTAATCTTGAACATGTTGTCAAGTGTTAATAATTACCTTTAAGATATCTTTCACATTTTTGGAATTTTTTTCATTCGTAGTAAAATTTCAAATCAAAATATAAACAAAATAAGTTTGGCAAAAACTAGGTTCATATTTACATCAGTAGCTGTCACTAAAGGGTAGAAATTTTAAACCGATAAATACATTGAGTGTTCTTGAGTTCTTAGAGATTATTTGAGATGTTTAGGTGTAAATAATGATGGTATGTGGCATTTTGTTGAAATTGAAATTATTAGCCATAATGAAATAGATGGTTTTATTGACTTGGCTCATCTACACAACATTTGTGCACGACAATGTCTGAAAACAGTGAGAGATTTGAAGTGCAATTATAACAAGAATTGTGCTATCCACCTTAACTTAAAAACATAATAATAAAATCTGAACAGTTTTTGTCAAGGGACACATGTGTAAATAGATTGCTGGACAACACACTTTTATACACGTTAATCTTTGCATTTGAAAACATACAATCTTCAAACTCGGTTACTTCTCTAACTTCGCTTTGCTAACCTAATTCCACAAAACATGGATCACTTTTGACATATCAGTTTCAATTTACACAGCAAAATGGCCAAGACTAATTACATTCCACTTCACAATGCACAATGTAGTCGTTCTTAAATACGACATGAAGACAAATTAGTGTCAATTCTGTTAATTTTAAAAAGTTATTAAAATTTAGTGTTTAAACTATAAAATATGTTGGTAAGAGCAAGTAATGGCCCATCTAGGGCTCACTACCTTTCATTTAAAACAAAAATCATATAATTTGGTTGAATAGAATGCTGAGATTTATTTCTAAATGAAAACCTTTAGTGTTTTAAGCATGTAGATGATTGTGGAATTTTGGAACTTTTTTTGTATTTTCACTGCTTCTGTGTTTTTAGAGGGCCATGGGATTTGGAAATTGCAACAAATGTGGTAATTTATGAAAGACCTCCGACAATCCTTCCACATCCACATCCAGATGTTGAGGTTCTAAGATGCAGTCTTGCTGCCAAACTACGCCAGTGCTATCAAGAACTTTGCCACTCTAGAGAAGGTATTCATTATTTGTTAATTAACCATATTGCGCTTACCCTTGTATAAAATATATTGAGAAAAATAGCATTTACTTGTTGCATACTTTTGCAATCTTTAATAAAAAACATTGGGCTCATTCTTATTTGCTTTTCAATAATTTAATGTGATGAATAATTTTTCAGCTATTGATGCCCCGAAGGATTCTTTCAATAGGTGGTTGATGGAGAGGAAAGTCATTGATACTGGTAGTGATCCTTTACTTCCGAGTACATGCATTCCTGAAATTTCAATGTGTATGTACAGAGAGATAATGAATGACATACCTATCAAGTTAGTGAGACCAAAGTTTACAGGCGATGCCAGGAAACAACTTTCTAGATATGCCGAAGCAGCCAAGAAAATGATAGAATCGAGGTAAAGTGATTCCAAAGGAACTTAAAAATTCAGATAAACTTTCAAAATTTATTGAATTTGTATGTATTACGTTTTCTACAGTGTGTTGATTTATAGAAATTACCTTGTCTATAAAGGTAAAGGATAATGACTGAACGTATGGTTTGTTCAAACAAACAAAATAATGCAATTTTGTTTACTAAGAATTCAGTAATATGTTCTTTGTCCATATTTGTTCATTATTTTTCCTTCATTGTAGTCTTTCTCACCGCATAGTTACTCTTGTCCTTGTACATCTTTACCTTTCACACTTGCTCACTTGATATGTTTTAAAGACTATACAAGTCACACAATTCTTACTCTCACCCCAATCCTAGTCTTAACCTCCTTTCTAATCCCATCATCCATTAGGTATGTTAAAAACTAACTAATGTGTTAAAGAATTGTAAAAATATTTTAAATATTGATTTAGGGCAGGTTGGCTGAGAGTCAAGGTAAATGTTCATTGGTGTGATTATATTCACAACTTTCATGTCTATACGCATTGTTTAATTGCACTGGATCAGAAAGGTGAAAAGTTTTGTGAACTATTGATTGTATGGATTAACATGTTTAAAAAAGCGCAGTGAAAGGAAAATAAATGTATTTCTCTATAAACCTGGTTCATCCAGAGAGGAATGCTTGAATGCTTTTCAAGATTAAATAAATTCTTCATGCAAATATTACAAAACGTGAACACATGAATATCTTTTATACATTTTTTGTTCTTCCAAAAAGTTCTTCAATGTTTACCTTCTGTATTAATCTTTCTGTTCAGTGACAATTTGGTTGTTGTGACACTCATTCATGCCAAACTAATGGGGGTGAGTGGGATCTGAAAATAACATATAGAAATGATTCACATTCATTTCACAAAAATTGGGTAACTTGTGTTGGAGCTGTGGTACTCCATATTATTTTTGTCATTCCAGAAACGGGAGAATGTTACCATGAAATCGATATGTGTATGTACAATGAGTTTATGAGAGAAAAATACTCTTCAAAACTTTCTTTTTAAGAATTGTTAATTACGTACATAACTTTTTTACTAAAATTTAGTCAGTTGCGGGTTTAATTAAAAGTGTAATGAAAATAAACAATATAGGCCCATTGAAATTCTACATTTCAAGAAGCAGAAGAAAATATTCCACCAAAAGTAATGTGGTGTTTGGCAATGCTCAACTTTTTTTTATAAACTTTGGTGTGTCTGCATTGACGCAACATGTCTCCAAGCTCCTTGGGGGGCATTAAGAGCTTTGCACTTGGAGTAATTCTCCATTAATTTGTGCACTTCAAGTAGTCCTCCAGTAACATTATCCCTCTTTGTCATGTCTTGTTGTAGTCGGTTATCAAGAGAACTGCCGGGTAACATCTCTGCATACGCACCTCCTACTACACACTCTTGCGTCACTACCCAGCAGTCAGAATTGGGAAGGAATTAAGATTGGGGTAGGGTTTAGGATATTTCACAGGGATTGGATTAGCCCTTGTGAAGCAGCCGAACTCGTTTTTGTTACAACAAATTTCACATGAGATTGTCCAGAAATCGAACCCAGACCTCTTTGGTGAAAGGTGAACGACTTCTCTCTAAGCCACTGAGCCAGAAATGTTGCTAAATGAAGCACAGTAAATTGAGAGTGAGAAACTTATGCTTGTTGCCAAATTACACAAAAAATTCTCATGTTTTCAAAAAATTGAACCTGACCTTATTTGAAGATCTATTTTTGATGAACACATTTGATTAAAAAAAATTGTGTCTTCATAATTGTAGTTGTAAGAAGACACACAAATATATTTATATATTAATTTAGTGAAATATATATTTTAATTTTTAAAAATTAGGGTTTTCAACCAACATGAGATCTGTACCATTTTCTTGAAACATTCTTCAGACTATCCAACAACAAAATTGGATAAAAAATGATGGAGCCTTTTTTTAGAATGTCCCAGGGGCCTTAATGTAAAGTGTCCTCGGAATTAAAATATCTGTTTTGAATTCAAGGGCTGTGACATCTGCCAGATCAATTGGGGAATATCTATTTTGAAGAGAATCAGTTAAATATATACATACAACTACTACAGCCACTACAGCTACTGACATTGGTCACAGTCAGACAGACAGACGTTTTGCCATCAGTTGATTTCTCGGTATCAAGAATCCATAAATCGTGGATTCTGGCTACACTATGTCTTACACTTTTTTTAGTTTCTAAATTTAGCATGTTGATTTATCCACTTTTTCATTGCCAAGGCCCTGTAATAAGTGTTTTTTGCTGAAATTTGCCGTTTTTTTATGCAACATTGCATAACAGTAGCCAGATATTTACAGTATGCAACATTGCATAACAGTAGCCGCATTAGCAGTAGCCAGATATTTAAAAATATCTGTTGGCCTGTACACAACATACCCACTCTGCAACATTATAACCATCAGTAAATTTGATTACTTTTGTTTGTATTATGCTAAAGCTCATTTCAGATTTTTTTATTTTTGAAACCATTAGTAGAGTATTAGTTTGAGAGCTAACTGAAATTCAGGTATTATACATGTTTTTTCTTAACATCTTCAATATTAGGACTTGAAAATATCTTAATGAAACCTTTCTAGTTTTAAATTAAATACCAGGATGATTAAAACATTTTATTATGTTGTTGGTCCCTGGGCTCAGAGTTTTGGGATAGGTAGCATCTTCACCTTATGGAATAAGCCCTTATGGATACAGGTTCTCACTAAACCTAGGGCTAAGTAAAGCATAAAACAGAAGTTGAGCATCAGAGAGCCTCTCCTTGCCCGAGATCATCCATGTGTGATGAAGACCCACATCCTGCCTGAAGTAGCCAGGCTTCTAGGAAACACAGCAGATCTAGTGGAACAAACCTCTAAAATAAACCCCCATGTTCATGGTGTGAACAACATTTTATCCAAATGAAGTGAAGGAGGGTAACAAGTTACAAATGTGTGCTCTTCAGAATTTGGCAAATTCTGAGTGACATCCCGCCTTCCTGTGGCAAGGGGGGCTCTGTTGGATGTACACTAGCTACTTGTGAATTTGAACTAATAGGACTGTGTAAATGGGGCCTCATGACATTTTACCCAATTAAAACACATAGGACTACTGAATATCTATGTAAATAGTATTAACCTAGATTTAAGAATCACTATATAAAGTGATGTTTGGTCAATCATGTTCAGTTTCAATTTGTGATGTTTTTTGAAAATTTAAAAGTTCTCAGAGGTTCACCCTGGATAGTTATAATTAATAACCAAGGCTCGGATTCTGATGACCTATAAATTCTTTGAAAATTGCCTATATAAAACTTAAAAATAAGAGAAAAATGACCTAAAAATTTAAAAGTAAAGGGAAAATTACCTAATTTTTAAAAAACACTAGAAAATGTGTATAAAAGTATAAAAATGTTTTCTTATTCAATGAATTTTGCAATTTTAGATGAAATCTATTTATATAAAATAGTTTAATGTAAAGTCTTCACTTTAGGAGGAAATGTAATCATTACCTCCGAACTTCCAACCGTTGGTTTTGAAAGGTCGAGGAAGTTACTGAAAATCCGTGTAATTTTCAGAGTTTGAAAAACGATCCATTGCAATAGTGAATTTCGTCCTGAATTGATGATACAATAAAAACTTTATTTTAGTGAGTCATTGTTGATACATGAAACATTTGTTTAAAAAAAGACACAAAAGGGAAATAAAATGACTAAAATGACGCTAAGGTCCAAAAAAATGACCTAAAAATTGAAATATGGCAAGAAATGACCAACAAACTACATTTATATCACCAACATGTCTTGTTAAACATTCATTTACAAGTTAGCTAGGTCTACAAGGCACCAATGAAAAGATGACATGTCGTTAGAATTCGAGCCCTGTTAATAACTCTGGTCCACGTCAGCATCACTGATGCCAGATCTAGTGAAATGACAGTGGCCTATTAGAATGATTGCCTAGGTTATCAGATATATGTATCAGGTATATGATGATTTGTGGTCAACACAAAAATTCTTCAGTTGTCAGCATTAGTTTGTGAAAATCCCTTCTGTCCCTTATTATCCTGAAAATGTGTATTAATAATAAATGCCTTATGAAAAATGCCCTAGTGTTCTCCTTTACTGCTTCTTTTGCTCATTAACTAGAGGAAGGAAAATTTTATTTTGTATTTACTTCCTTCTTAGTTTGGCTTTATTTAAAGACCATACATGATTCGATTTCAGAATAATATACAATTATTAC